TTTTGGCGGGTGCTCTGGTGTAGTTTACTCCTTTTTTCCTATCAAACATCTATCGTCTCTATCTCTCCTCCTTCTTTCCTATCAAACATCTATCGTCTCTATCTCTCCTCCTTCTTTCCTATCAAACATCTATCGTCTCTATCTCTCCATTTTTTTGGGGCGTGTTTGTTACTTTATTGTAACACCTCTAATCTTCGGCACTTATATGACCTAATTGTGTTGCAAGTGCCGTAAACTCTTTCTTGCGCTCATTTGACCTTATGCAGTTGCGAGCGCCGTAAAAACTCTACAAAAACTTTTTCTAAAACTAAAACTAAAAACACCAATTTCCTTTAAAAAATAAACAGAATCCCTGGCTATGTCTATCTCAGAGCAGCCCCTGGTTGCGTTAAGAAAGGGGACACTCACTCTCTCCTTCGCCCTTCAAGCAGCTTCAAAGATTCTTTTTTCTTCTTCATTTTTTAACACTGCTAACTCCCTACTTGTTCTAATTTTATCCTTTTTTCTTGGTTTTTAGTATTAGTAAGAGTTTTAGGGCGCTTTACAATACAGTACAACGTGCAACAGTAACATAAAACGTGTTCTGACTAAACAAAATCACTCCAAATATTCGTCTTGTTCATTCCTTCACGCACGCTTTCTCGTCTGTCCTCAATACTCACCCCAAATGTCCCCCCCTCACCCACCCTCTCTCGTGAATGAGTACCTCAATGCTCACCCCGAATGTCTCCCCCCCCCTCCTCTCTCCTCTCTCCTCTCTCCTCTCTCCCGTGAGTGAGTACCTCAATACTCAACTCAAATGTCCCCCCTCCCGTGAGTGAGTACCTCAATACTCCCGTGAGTGAGTACCTCAATGTTCTCGTGAGTGAGTACCTCAATGCTCCCGTGAGTGAGTACCTCAATGCTCCCGTGAGTGAGTACCTCAATGCTCCCGTGAGTGAGTACCTCAATGCTCCCGCGAGTGAGTACCTCAATGCTCCCGTGAGTGAGTACCTCAATACTCCCGTGAGTGAGTACATCAATGCTCCTGTGAGTGAGTACTTCAATACTCCCGTGAATGAGTACCTCAATGCTCCCGTGAGTGAGTACCTCAATGCTCCCGTGAGTGAGTACCTCAATGCTTCCGTGAGTGAGTGAGTACCTCAATGCTCCCGTGAGTGAGTACCTCAATGCTCCGTGAGTGAGTACCTCAATGCTCCGTGAGTGAGTACCTCAAAGCTTCCGTGAGTGAGTACCTCAAAGCTTCCGTGAGTGAGTACCTCAATGCTCCGTGAGTGAGTACCTCAATGCTCCGTGAGTGAGTACCTCAAAGCTTCCGTGAGTGAGTACCTCAAAGCTTCCGTGAGTGAGTACCTCAATGCTCCGTGAGTGAGTACCTCAATGCTCCCGTGAGTGAATACCTAGCCTCAATACTCCCGTGAGTGAGTACCTCAATGCTCCCGTGAGTGAGTACCTCAATGCTTCCGTGAGTGAGTGAGTACCTCAATGCTCCCGTGAGTGAGTACCTCAATGCTCCCGTGAGTGAGTACTTCAATGCGCGCGTGCATGACAGGCTAAGCAGCTCACGTGCTTTTCCAACTCGGAGGGGAAAAAATCGTTATTACCTCACGCCTACCTGCTTCCGGGATCCTCTTTCTCTTTTTTCTGCCTCTCCGGGATCCTCTTTCTCTTTCTTCT